TGGATCGGGGCATCCTGTCTGCAGCAGGCCTTATAAGCTTTATATAGCACGTGAGTTGTTTTTACAACACGTGAGTTGTCCGTGCAATTTATAGCGTTTGGGCTGAAGGAGCCCCTCCGGAGTCTGTACAACCCCAGTGAGCGTGGTTGTTATTATTGAGAGATGGAACTTCCCTGGACATGGATCTTGTCCGAAGCATTATATACCTGGAGATGGATCTTCTCCACGGGATGAATTGGCCCTACTCGGTACTGATTAACTGATGATCAGCTGATGTGTATATTTCGGGATGGATCTTCCCTGGGCCAGATTGGCCATATACAGTACCGAGTGATTGGGCATGATGAGTGGAATGTGTGAGAAAGTGAGATTTAGTAATCTGAGAGTGTGAATACATGAGTTTATCTCTCAGACACATTGCATTGACATGTACACATGACATACAAGTATAGAGATGTATTTTTCTCATGTTGTACGGTATCACGTCATTCATGACTTTTTACACATGTTGATATATGGGCATAGTGATGCATTTGTTTTACGCTGGCTATCTCGAAAGAAAATGAGACATCTTATTTATTATTGAAAGGATTTCTGGGAAAATTACTGTTTTCAAACTTACTCATATTTTTGGCAACTTCGGCAAACGATTTGGGTTTTCACTGATGTACTTGAAAGGCATAACTATTTTCAAAAATGATGATTTTATTGAGCATTTTATCTCTAAGTTACTTCCTGCTTTACTTGTTTTATATTGTTATGAACTATTGTTGGATGGGAGTTGGACTTTGACCTTGGTACAAGCTCGTCACTACTTTCAACCTAAGGTTAGATTTGTTACTTATTGAGTGCATAGGGTCGGTTGTACTCATACTATACTTCTGCACCTTGCGTGCAGAATTTGGCTACTGATGTTGCTGTGATCGTTTGGAGCTGGATCCGAAGGTGTACCTGCGTTCCGGTTGTAGATGCCTCTTGTTCATGGTAGCCTTAGATTCATAAAACTCTGTTTATATACTTTTCAAACAGATGATGTATTTAGTTCATACCAGTTTTATATACTCTATTCTTAGAAGATCATGATTTGTACTATCAGTTCTTGGGGAATGTATAAGATTAAGATTTTTCTTTACTTAAATCGCTTTAATAATTGTTATTAGAATTAGTTACTGATTCATTGGCTTACCTAGCAGGTTGGGTTAGGTACCATCACGACTAGATAGATTTTGGGTCGTGACAAGGTGGTATCAGAGCTCCAGGTTCATAGGTTTTACAAGTCATGAGCAAGTGTCTAGTAAAGTCTTGCGGATCGGCATGATGACGTCCATGCTTATTTTCGAGAGGCTACATGGCATTTAGGATATATACTTCCCATCTTTCTTTCCTTATCGTGCGAAATTTATTCAGCTTGAGACATAACTCTTTGAATTCCTTCCACGCATTCGTATGCGCACATGGTAGCTCGGTAT